TTGGCCTCTGAGAAATCAAATGTTGTTCTTAAGTCACAAGAATTCAGATGAACTTTTAATTTAAATTTTGCCCAGAGTGTGATGAACTTCCTGTGGTGTTTGAGTAAACCTTTGAAGACAGTGGTAGTCCTTGGGCAAGTATTAATCAAGAATCAAGTCATATCATTGTCAATCTGTGATTTAAAAACAACAGAATCAGGATTTGGAATATAGAGTGTTCTTACTAAAACTTAAGTTTCAAGTAGTGGTGTAAGACTTTTATAGGCAAACTAGCAAGCTAATTTGTTGTAGTGCCAATTTCATAGGACCATTCTCAAGCTTCTTAGAAGCTCTGGATCAGAATTTTGCCTTTATGTCATGTTCTAAGGCTTGCTTCTAGTTTAACATTCTTATGACACCCACAGCAGGTTTATCTGCCTCCACATAGTCATCTCACTTGCTTCTTTTTCTCTGCACTTTGAGTTACAAAATCCCACTGGATTGCTTTTTTGATCTCAATCCCTCAACACCTTTTCTTCCAGAAGAGCTTAAAGCAGCGCCTGGGTAAGAGTAACATCCAGGCACGGTTAGGCCGACCCATAGGGACCCTGGCCAGGGGAGCGATCGGAGGACGAGGCCTACCCCTAATCCAGAGAGGCTTGCCTAGAGGAGGACTACGTGGGGGACGTGCCACAAGAACCCTGCTTAGGGGCGGGATGTCGCTCCGAGGTCAGTGCTGTGTTCCTGATAATTGTCGAGCCCCACCCCCTTTCCTTTTCTCTTGGGCTGCTATGGACACATTTGTTTAACATCTTTAAGCCTGAATTTGTATTAATATAATTAATAACTTGATATCACATATTTTTAATAGTGCTGCATGTCCTTTTATCAATGCCATACCTTTTCTGATAATGTGCAATGGTGAGAGGCTATGACCTGCGTAACAACAGGTAATTCATGTCATCTCCATTCCATTTTAAAACACCCTGCTGCTGCTTGAATCAAAGCACATTCAAGTTCTAGAAATAAGTCAAGTCTTAAGAACTGTATGGGTCTGTTGGCCTATATCTTAACCAGTCATCTCTTTTCCTGGTGCTAGTGAAATACTGTTATATCTATAAAAAAGAAGACAAGTTGACCCATAGCACTTAGCTATATATACATTTGGGGCACTGTTCCCTGTATAGTTCTTGTCCCTACAAGAGTGTATTGAGAAGAGGAACCATATCATTTATGTGTAAATTTATCGTAATGTTAGGTACCTATCTGATTATTCAATAGATACTTATTAAATGTACATACTTCCTAATTACCTTAACTCCTCCCAGCTTCTTCCAAAAAACGGATTTTTGGTCAGACTTGTTTAATTGATTGAATAAAGAGCATCTTAATCTGTTCACACTCCATATGCAGCTTTCCCCACCCAACCTAAAAATTACCTGAATTAACTTATTTAACCCTTACCGCCTTCCTTTGGTTAGAATCTACTTTGTCTCTCTTGGATTTACCTGCATATACATTGTATGCCTCCTCTCTAAGGTCAAAACCTGCTCCGAGGTGGACGAGCCGTAGCTCCCCGAATGGGCTTAAGAAGAGGTGGTGTTCGAGGTCGTGGAGGTCCTGGGAGAGGGGGCCTAGGGCGTGGAGCTATGGGTCGTGGCGGAATCGGTGGTAGAGGTTAGTCAGCTACCAACTTCAGAGAATAGCTCCCTCTTATTTCTCTCCCTTTAAAGCTCAGAGCCACCTTTCTGCACAGCTTCAAGTCATAGGCAGGCTTATTTGTTTGTCTTGTTTTGTTTTTTGAAACTGGCTTATTTTTCTAAATTCACATGGTGGTAGTGCAAAAGTCTGTCCTGGGTTTTCTAAGAACTAGTAGGTACATGTTATAGAGCCAGATTATATGTGCAGCCTTCCAGACTCTTGTGAATTTAAATTGTATTGTAAAGATGACAAAGTGGTCAGTTTGGGGTTTTACCTTTCTCTGTCCCTGCCCCACCACCACACACAACGCACCCCATAACTCAAGACCCCTCTTTTGAGTCTAAAAATCTAAAAGAGGAAGGTGTACAAAAATGAAGCAGAGTTAAAATAAGGATGAGATCTGGAACTGGGTAATGACTCTAAAACCAAGTAAATTCAAGGTAAAGTTTGTGTCTATGGGAAACCAGAGGTGACTTTTTGAGTACGTTTATTAAAGCTGGGGACCGTGAAACAAGGAAGGGCCTAGGATAGAAGAAGCAACAAAAGGGACCTTGGAGACAGGCTCAGGGGCTTAGCCCAGGACCACATGCTCCCCTGGTGGCAAGTCTCTCATGGGGAGTTGAGGATATGCCCGCCTGTGGAGGAAAGGGAGGGGGTAAAGGTTCGGCTTGCTCCCAGGAGGTAGAAAGCAAGGATGGTATTGTGTCAGTTAACTGACTGACTCATGTTTGATAACAATCTTACCTTTGAGACTTAGTGATACTTGTCTTGTGACCTCTTGACCCAGATTGGAAGGGTTTTAATGGTGTTGCTGTTAAAATGCCAGATCTCATGGGAATTTTCTGGCTTAAAGTTCAGTGGAAAACTCCCAACATCTGTCGAAGAAAAAGAAAATTTTTACTCTCTTAGCTTAACCCTGTATATATTGGCTTTGGTCCTTTTAAAGTGTGTGGTGGGTCCATAATTTATGACCTTAAAGTTGCCAAGGGATAATAACGGTTAGGAAAGGAAATTTGATAACTGAGGGCTTGTTTTCTTCTCGCCTATTATATGTTGCTTGGCTTATTGAGTGAAGTGCAAGCTAGTTTGGGTTTCAGGATGAAATAGCATGTTTCCAAATTATCTTGACTTGGTTTCTGAGCAACGACACAGGGGTGAGGGAGTCAAAGTCTTAGCTGGGTATGTTTTGTTAAGTGAATTGAAACCACCTCTCAGATAACCATAATTGTTATAAGTATCTAGAATAGCAGATAAAGTGGCTGAGACTACTCGGGAGGTTTTTTCCCATCTCCCCACATTGTTCCTATGTAAAAATAACTCCTCAGTCTCCTGACATAGGGTCAGCTCTTTATGTCTTTAGGTTTGATAAGTTTGAGGAGAGATGAGCTAATTTTCCAGAAGGATCTCCAATAAAGCTTAATTTGAAAACTGGCTTCATACCTCTGTTGCTCTGTGCCCTTATTACTTTCTCCCTATCTTAATAAATGAGTTTGTCTGTAAATGTATTTTAATTATGAACTTATAGTAGGTCCCAAAGTTGAGGTAATTTGTTTTAGGAAAGATTAAAATTTTTTTAAATTAAATAGCATTTAGAGATGAGCATATAATAAGGGATTCATTATGTGTGCTTTCCATGTGTTGCTTGCTACCCAGTGTGTTTCCTATTTTTCCAGATTTCTCCTCTTTGCCCTGCCCTTCAGCCTCTCAGCTAGGCCCCACTGCTCTAAGGGGCATTTACTAGAGCACCCATTAAACCTACTTGTAACTGTCTTTTTTTTCCCTTGGGCCAGGTCGGGGTATGATAGGTCGGGGAAGAGGGGGCTTTGGAGGCGAGGCCGAGGCCGTGGACGAGGGAGAGGTGCCCTTGCTCGCCCTGTACTGACCAAGGAACAGCTGGACAACCAATTGGATGCATACATGTCGAAAACAAAAGGACACCTGGATGCGGAGTTGGATGCCTACATGGCACAGACAGATCCTGAAACCAATGATTGAAGCCTGCCTTCCCTCCTCTGAGAGACTTGTTAAAAAGTTACCACATCTGTAAATAACCTTGAGATGACAGATGAGAAGAGCCTACCTGGAGAAGAGCTCTGACTGATGCTGGAAGGACCTATCACAATAGACTGTGGACTTACTTGCCACCAGTGTGTGCATTTAGTGTGTTCCTTTTACTTTTTTGATAACTATTGTATGAAACCCTTTTTTCCTCTGATTTGGGTTTGGTTTCATTTTGTTGTTTGGGTTGGTTGGTTTGTTTTTTCCTTCTCCCAGACTTCTCTGTGAACATGAATATGTTGGCCTTCTTTCCACCTCTGCCTCCCCTCACCTGCCATATATGCTTTGACTGTCTAACATTTCCTCTGTTCATCTCTCTATTCTCTGAAAGTCCCAGAAAGAATCCATTCAATGTTCCTCCCTGGTGCCTAGGTGTCTGTGATGCAGTTCTGTTCTTTATCACTTTAATAGCCACTTAGAAGTGGTTAGAAAATCTGGAGATCAAAAATGCATTCTGCCACGTTGATATTTTAATATAGTAAATTAGGAACATTGGCCTAGCTACAGTGTCACATGACAGGTTATGCATGGTAGCAGCTCTGATTTGATGGAAGTTACTACCATGTGCATTGATACCACATATGTGAGCTGGTTTGGGTGTGTGCATTATTTCTACCATGGAATAAGATTTGTAAACTTGCCTCTTGGCTTTGCATCATGTCCAAAGGGGTGCTATTGGGTTGGCTTACACCTGCAGTAGAGAGGGAAAGGCCATTGGTTAAGCAGATGCTTCAGAAAGGGTGGGAGAACTATGGCAGATACCTGCTGGGGAGGGGTCAGAAGATACCCATGTTGAATGTAATTCTTAGGTTTATCCCAAACCAGTCTTGAGCTTTTCCATACATTGGCTTTGTTTGACCCTCTTATTTCCCTTGAAGGTTTGTAAGTTCAACCATATTCTGTCAACTGTTCCAGTTTCAGTAGAATCTTGTATTTATGGTTTATTATAACAAGAAATTGTTCTCTCAAATCCAGCTAGGACTTTTTATTTGTTGTGCTCTTGGAAATGCTATGGCTACTGTAACACTACCTTAATATACCCCTTATAGAGCTGAGTCCTTCATAGTCGTGTTAAAATTCTTGAGAGCTCAGTGGATGGAGTGTCGAACTGCAGACCAAAGGGTCTTGGGTTCAGTTCCGGTCGAGAACGCGTACCTCAGTTGCAGGCTTCTCCCCGACCCAGGCGTCGCGGTGTGTGCAGGAGGCAACCAATGTGTGTGTTTCTCTCACATCGATATTTCTCTCTGTTTTTCGCTCTTCCACTCTCTTTCTGAAAAATCAATTGAAAAATATCCTCAGATGAGGATTAAAAATAAAAAGATAAATTTAAAAAGATCTTAGGAAAGGGGTATTGTGGCTTTGGGACAGAAAGTGAAGAATCTGTCCATCCCTGAGTAAGCCTTGCAGAAAGATTAACCACACAAAGTAATGTACTGACCCATTTGGTCCATACAAAGGTCAAGCAGTATCCTGGAACCCAGCACTGGTTTCCCTTTTTCCCTGCACTGTTTAAGGGAAAAGAATCTAACCACCTCCAGGCAAACCAATTACCATTGAGCTACCTGGTGCCTAAACTGTTGGGGGTTGTGTTCATTGCATGCTGGGAAGGAAGTTTTGATCAGGAGTCCTGTCTGTATGACCTAAGCTACTTTACTTAACCCCTCGGTGCAGCCAGTGGTTTAGCTGTGGAAGGGAGAGCTTGAAAAGATCACATGGGGATAGGATTTAACCATGCTGACAGCCAACCTGACCTGGATTCTGAGTGTACTGTAATTCCTCTAAGAGTGGACGGAGACGAGGTCTTCAACCCAGACAGGTGTTCATAATCTTTAATTAGAAAGAATAAAAGGTATTTTTATGTGGGTGTGGGTAGGTGTAGGGATATCTCCATTGGAGCCCCCAAGGCCCTGAGGGAGGTGCTGATCAACAGTGGGCAGCAAACTTCACATCCCCTGGTGGCCTTGCCTCAGGCACATGCCAGGTTCTCTAGGAACCCTTTGGGAAGAGAGAGGAAGGGGGAGCTGCAGGATGAGTGGGTTCCTTACTCTCTTCATACAACCTGGGGTGACCTAGGATTTTTCCCCAGCCCTCCCCCAAAGTAGCTAGCAGCTACATTCCCCTAAAATAACTTTTTACCTAGAACTTCCCCTCAGGATATATATTATTTCAATCTGGTGACTTTTGAGCCACCTCTGATAATAACACCCAAATACTTCCTCTATGTAGAGTGAAAGGCATGAAGGGGAACCTAGCGGGGATAGAGGTGAAGGCCACCGTGGAGCCTTCAGCAGCAGTCTTACATGCCCCACTTCACCTCCATGCAGCTCACACGCCTCTATGCTCATGCCCATCTTCCCTCATTTGGAGCTCTCCCCAGACTTGACAACATTTCCAGGATAAAAACTATGGAAGGAGTCCAGAAGTGGGGAAAGGGGCACAGGATGACAGCAAGTGCCTCCCATCGCCACCCCCTTCATCACTAATGGAATCCTTTGAGGGGGTTCTCTCAGGACAGAATCCCTGGATGCCTCACCTCCCTGGGCTAAGGAAGAAGTTGGGGCTGGGAAGCTTGGGTCCTTTGAGAAAGGAACCTCCCAAGGCACTGGGTATCAGTCGCTCTCTCAGGTCAGCCTCTTCTAGCTCAGGCTCCCCCTGCCCAGTGTGCTTCCAGTCCCACCACATTCTATGACTCATTGTTCAGGGTGTACCTTAGTCGCTCTCTCTTAGGTCAGCCTCTTCTAGCTCAGGCTCCCCCTGCCCAGGGTGCTTCCAGTCCCACCACATTCTATGACTCATTGTTCTTAGTGCCTATGGTGGCTGTTCAAAAGGATGTGTTCGGGCGGGGCGGGGGCGTTAATGGGAGGATAAGGACACATTTGTAATATCTTAACCAATAAAGAAAGATTTAAAAAAAAAAAAAAGATGTGTTCCCTGTCCTCTACACCCTTGGCACTGGCTCCACTGGGCAGTGCAGGGAGCTAAGCCCAGGCCGGGTCTCGTTTCTAAAATCTGCAATCTTTACTGTGAAAATGTCGACATGGCCTGGTGTTCAGGGGACCCTGAGGCATCCTGGTGGGGTGGAGGGTGAGGGCTTTGAGGGTCCCAGTGGAGCCTAAGCTCCCTTCTCTTTCTGCCTCCTCTATTCCTCCTTCATTCCCAACAGTGGGTACAAGGAACTTCCCTCCAGTCACGGGCTCTCTAGCCCCACCTGCTGCTCACAGCAGTTCCAGCACCTGAGGCTTGTGTCCCATTTCTGCCATCCTCTGTCCCTATTGAGTGTCCCGGATAGAGTGGGACCAGGAGTCAGCCTGGCTCCTACGTCAGCCTGTTACTCATTCAGCCACATCCACAGAGGACTTGCCATGCAGACACAAACGGCATTATTGTTAGAAGGGCCCTGGGAGCACAGAGAAGAGAGTGATAAACTGGATCTTGAAAGTCCTAGGAAAGTTTAACAGACAAGGGAGAATATTCCAAGTAGAGGGAACGACAAATACAAAGGTATCCGGACCTAAAAGAGCATGTTGTATGCCAAGGAAAGTGTGTGTTAGTGGAAACAGGCCCAGGAAGGCTCTGGGGACTGTGATGGTGGCAACAGCCACCATGGCCCTCTTACCTTGTAGGGCTGGCAGGCCAATAGGCCTGTGACAGCTGAGGCTTCATGAGGCATCTTTATTTATTTTTATTGATGTTTTTATTTTAATTTTTTTGTAGGGGTCACTGGCCCATCTTTGCTTGAAACTGATGGGTCCAAGATCCAATCATTGAGTTTTGAAAGAGAAACATTGATGTGAGGGGGAAACATTGATTGGCTGCCTCTTGCACGCCCACTACAGGGATTGAGCCCACAACTCAAGCATGTGCCCTGACTGGGAATTAAACAGGCCACCTTGCCCTCGCTGGAATGGCTTAGTGGATAGAGCATCGGCCTGTGGACTGAAGGGTCCCAGGTTTGACTCCAGTCAAGGGCACATGCCCGGATTGCAGGCTCGATCCCCCGTAGGGGGCATGCAGGAGGCAGCCAATGATTCTCTCTCATTGATATTTCTCTCTCTCTTCCTCTCCCTTCCTCTCTGAAATCAATAAAAAGATATTAAAAAAAAAAACAGACTACCTTTTGGAGTACAGGACAACACTCCAACCAACTGAGCAACACTGGCCAGGGCTCATGAGGCCTCTTTAAAGGATTTGCTTTGAGGAAAGAGTGAAGATAGAAAATAAAAAATGGAATCACTTTAACCAAGCTGCTAAAATTATCCACACTATGAAGGTTGAGGCATGAGGACTCTACTCTTGTTCTAAATAGCCTGGGGACTTAAACTTTTTGAACTTCCCAGTCCTGTGTCAATGCCTGTAAATACATTTGGACTTCCAGGTAACCTTCTGATTACCTGCCTGAAGGACTCACATATCCATTCAACCTGACATCTATTATATAGACCACCTGACATCTGAGTGATAACCATCCTGGACCAATCCTGAGGCTAAGAATGCTGGACTGATAGTTCACAAAAATGAACTTTTACTCTAAAAACTCAACTTTTCTTTCTTCTTTGGAACACTTGTGGGGTTTTTGCCTAGCAGTGTTCCAAGTTTTCAAACTTTAAGACCCTTTAATAAATCTTTCTTTTACTTCTCACAAAGCCTCCAGACTCTGAGTTTGACAACTTGATTCTCCATTTAGGCTTGATTAATTTATTTTATTTTTTAGTGTAAGGTGATTCTTGGCTTAAGATTTAAAAATATCTACGGCCCTAGCCAGTTTGGCTCAGTGGATAGAGTGTTGGCCTGCAGACTGAAGGGTCCCGGGTTCGATTCTGATCAAGGGCACATGCCTGGGTTGTAGGCTCCATCCCCAATAGGGGGCGGGCAGGAGGCAGCTGATCAATGATTCTCATCATTGATGTTTCTACCTCTCCCTTCCTCTCTGAAATCAATGAAAATATATTTTAAAAATAAATAAAAACATCTACAGTGTAATATGTGACATATGAGAAATATATATTTGGTCTTGAACCCTGTTCCTGGCACAGCTTCTGAAACCCTAAGAATTTCATGTGATAAGAGCAATAATGGTGTCTTGTTATGTTAAAAAAAAAATACACCCGTAGGATGGGGGCTGGTTGTCAGTGGAGCCAACCATGTGATTAGAAGATTGGAACTTCCTGCCCCATCCTTCTAGGGAGGTGAGAGGGGCTGGAGGTTGAGTTATGTTAATGATGTGCTTTTGGACCCCATCTAAAGGTTGCCAGGAGAACTAACCTTATGATTAAAGAGTTGGAAATTTCAGTTCCCACACCCTAACCTCCAGGGAGGGGAGAGGGGCTGGAAGTTGAGTTCAAGCACCAATAGCCAATGAATTATTTAATCAGTCATGCCTATGTAATGAAGCCTCTATAAAAACCCAAACACATGGAGATGGGGGAGAGTGGAGCACCTGGAGAGGGCAGGCACCTTTGTGCCCTTTCCCCATACTTTGCTCTCTTCCATCTCTTCCATCTGGCCGTTCCTGAGTTATATCCCTTTCTAATAAACTGGTAATCTTGGAAATAAAATGTTTGAGTTCTATGAGCTGCTCTAGCAAATTAATGGGACCCTAGAAAGGAGTCATGGAAACCTCTGATTTATAGCCAATAAACCAGAAGCACAGGTAACAACCTGGACTTCCCATTGGCATCTGAAATAGGGTGGGGAGGGTCTTCTAGGACTGTACCCTCAACCTGTGGAATCTGATGCTCCTGCCTGGTGGGCTGTCTAGGTAGATAGTGTCAGAATTGAGTTGGTGTCCAATAATTGCTTGTTAGAGGTGTTAAAAAAGAAACAACAGTCCAAAATGGAGTCACCCTTGCTAAGCCACAAATCAAAATTTAACTAATTGCAATGTCAGCTTCTCCCAAACCAGTCAGGAATTACCTGGTCAGCACTAGTGAGGTAATCTGCCTGAGGGAAGGTGACCTTGCCTGAAATAATCCATTCTTAAATTTCTTTTTTTTTTTTAAATATATTTTATTGATTCTTTACAGAGAGGGAGAGAGATAGAGAGTTAGAAACATCGATGAGAGAGAAACATCGACCAGCTGCCTCCTGCACATCTCCCACTGGGGATGTGCCCGCAACCCAGGTACATGCCCCTGACCGGAATTGAACCCGGGACCTTTCAATCCGCAGGCCGACACTCTATCCACTGAGCCAAACCGGTCTCGGCCATTCTTAAATTTCTTGTCCCAACTCTTTTTGCCTATAAAACCTTCCAATTTGTACAATTCCTGGGAGCACCCTTCTAGTTGCTAAGTGGGATGCTGGTCAATTCATGAGATTTATGAATGGCCTAATAAAGCTAATTATGTCTTCAAATTTACTAGGTTGAATTTTGTTCTTAGGTTTGTCTGTTAAAGCCATCACCAGATACCATTCTGTGCCCACTACCCCCACTACCACAAGAAGGACCCTCTGATAACCCTGGCTGCCCTCTCTGCCCCATTCAGGGTCCACCGTGGGTGTAGGGGTGCAGCTAACCTGTCAGACAGAGGGAACTGTGTGTGGCTATATTGCCTGAGCCAGACAGCTGTTCCCACAGCTTCCTCATGGACCTACCCCACTACCCACCTTCAAATCGCCAGCAAGGAGGGGGCAGGTCAACCTAAGCACCACCTAGGGGGTGAGGAGATGGGAGACAGAAGAAGGGGAGTTCTTAGGATCTCCTTCAGCTTTTATGGAAAAGCCAAGAACGGGAAAGCCACTGCAATGTGATAGGGGTGCAAGCTGGGAGGAGGGGGATTTTGTGCTGAATACCTTGTGTCATGATGCCTGGAATTTGATAAATGTTTAGAGAATGAATAATTGAACCAGCACTGGCCTTCAACCTGTTATCAAACTTCAGGGTTTCTGGAAGACCCTTGCCCAGTCTCCCTCACAGAGCTATCTAAGGAACCAAGGAAAGAAGGATTCTAAAATTCCCTTTCATCTGAATGGTATTTTAGATGCAGAATGACCTGGAGAAGAAAGACTAGAGGCAAGATCAGGAGGCTGTTGCAATGGCTCCCTGAAAGATAAGAGCAAGTCAAGATGATAAGGAGTGGAAAGGAAAACATAAACCAAAAGTCATTTTCTTCAGAGAACCAGCTTCTTTTTTTAAAATAGTTTTAATTGATTTGAGAGAGAGACATCCATTTGTTTTGTTGTTGTTGTTAATCCTCACCTGAGGATATTTTCCCATTGATTTTTAGAGTGGAAAGGAGGGGGAAGAGACAGAGAAACATCGATTTTGTTGTTCCACTTATTTATGCATTTGTTGGTTGAGTCTTGTATGTGCCCTCATGGGGGGTCAATCAATCCTGCAACCTTGGTGTATTGGGAGGATGCTTCAACCAACTGAGCTACCCAGCCTGGGCTAAAATATTCTTTTTACTGTGGCAAAATACACATTACACAAAATTAAGCACTTTAACCATCTTTTTAAAATTTATTTTAGAGAGGAAGGAAGGCGAAGACAGAGAGGTAGAGAGAAACATCGATGTGAGAGAGATACAGCTAACTGTTGCCTCTGGTATGCTCCTGACGCATTGATGTTTCTTTCTCTCTCTCCCCACTTCCCCTCTAAAAGTCAATGAACGAAAATGAACGAATCCTTGGGTGAGGATTTTTTTTTAAAGTGGACTCATAAATTTAGAAATATAAAACTATACTATGAATGTAACCTGGTTTTCTCATAAATTAGGCTAGGAAGACTATGGCCAACTAGGGACTTAAGAATTAATTTTTCAATAAAAATAAATAAAATAAAAACGATATTAAGGAAAATAAAAAATAATAATAAAAAGAATTTATTTTTCACCTTTGGAGAAAACAAAAAGTATCCGTCTCCCAAAATTATTCCTTTCCCAGCTACTGAAGTCTGGAGATTTTGAAAACCCGCCCCTTCAAGGCCCATAAAGAACTTGTTACAATTCCCGGAGCATCAAACGCCCCGGCCTCCTCCCCGCCCTGCCGGCTCCAGGGACTCCATTTCCCAGAAGTCCCGGGGGCTGAG